TTTTAACATTTTCTAATGGTGGTGTGCCTCGTGATTTTTTTCATGAAAAAAGTGTGCCTTTGCACAAAAAAGGTTGAAAAACACTGCCTTAAGCTAATCAAGCAGGATAGTTCTCATGTTTAGTAAAAAAAATACTCTTTCCTTTTGTCCATTTACTCCTCCAAGTTTAAAATGCTAATGGTGGTAAATCATACAGATTTTTCTTTTTCTTTCTTTTATTTATTTGACCAATTGTATAGGTGAAACAACTGAGAAACCGTGCTGATGAAGATGCCCGTATGATTCATATGAGTATACAGATGGGTAATGAACCACCTTTATCTGTTAGAAGAGATTTAGAACATCTGATGCTTTTAGTAAGTTAATGTTCTTATTTTGAATAGTACTTGTTCTTTTAAAATAAACACAGCAAATGTTTATGTTAAAATGTATTTAAATTTTTATTTTTAATTACATATATGGGCATTTATATAAATCACTTTTTTATTAACCTAATTTCCTCAGGGCACAACATTTTAAAAATAAAGAAAACAACAGAAGTAGGTCTTGTAACTAAACCATGTTTTTTAATTTCTTTCTGGAAAGATTGGTCTACCCTCTCACCTAGAATTTAAGCCTCAGAGCAGACAAAATTCCTGATTTCTTTGCTCTTCAATAAGCAAAATGTACATATATTGACTTGCATTTTTTGCCATGAAATAGCTTATGTAGCTGTGTCTATGAAGTTCTGCTTTAAACAAGTTCATGAATGTGGGCTTGAGGGTCTACAGCAGCATTTCTCAATTTCAGCACTTTTAAGATCTGTAGATTTCAGCTCCCAAAAATCGCCAGCCAATAGTGGTTTAATAAATTTATTGTAAAAAAAGTTTGAGAAACACTACTGTAGAGATTTATTGCTGTGCTTGGTGTGAAGTCTAATATGCTTTCCACTCCTATCATTACTTTAGGGAAGAAGAAACTGTTTTATGAACAGCAAAGGGCTTGTTTTTCTTAATATATATATATAGAGACTAATTTCTTTAGAAGCAAGTAACATAAGAGGGCTTAATCTCCCCAAAATCTTTCCAAAAGAATGGCAATGGAAGGGAGCTGTGTTTCTCGCTTTCTGTTGCATGCTTTTATTTAGTTTTTCTCGTTATCCTTCTCTTTCCTGTCTTTTTTGGTATTGACCTTTAGAATATCTGAATGTAAGTTTATATAGTCTATTGTATAAGTTGTGTTAAGCAAATAATAATTTACCTTTATCATAATTACTCAATAAAATCTGAAAAGATTCCACGGTTTATTAATAATATACCTTTGTCATAATTGCTCTGAAAAGCAATTTCTCAAAAGATTCATAGATTTTAAAAGAGCATATAACTTAAATTTAAATGATCATGTATAGGAATTATGTTAAATACCTTGGTGTGGTCATGTGACATCATGTTTTATAATTGCATTGTTTAGTGACAAATTCCAATCCTAATTGCTGTTGTTAACTAAGGACTTTGTACATTTGTGGAAATACATATTTTTTAATTTTTTTTTCTTCCTTTAAAGATTGCTGAGTTATACAAGAAAGATCCCTTTAATCTGGAATTTGCTCTGGAATATTGGTGTCCTTCAGACTCTCTGCAGAGCTCCACTATCATAGGATCATATCTTGGTATAGCCCATCAAAGACCACCTCAGCGTCAGGTTAGAAAAATGATTTCTTTCTTTGGAATGCCTGTGATTTGAAATGCCTTCGTTTAATTTAGATTTAATTTAATTTTTTTAAAACATCTTTGTTGACTGTGTCCACTATTAAAGGAAGAGCCCTGTTGAGAAGAAGTTATTGCACACCACTTCCTTTTATTGAAATTAGAGTGGATTGCTAACCCCCCTTTCCCACCCCCTCTCTAAATACTAGTCTCTATGTTTCAGGATTTGCTTAAAGTGTAGTTATAAAGATTACCTAAAATACTGCATAAATACTATGTAGTTTTAGTTTTGCTTACTGTTTCAAAAATTAAAATACAACCCAATCTCCAAACTAAATCCAAACACTTTTTGAGTTTGAGAGAGATAAATGCATACTTAGTACTGTGTTTTCCCGAAATTACGATACACCCTGATAATAAGGACATGCCATATTTTTCCTGTGGACAAAAATATACACCCTCCCCCAATAATAAGCCCCCTGGACAACCCCTCCCTCCAGCCAGGCAGAGTTCCACTCACAAACCTAGCGATATCCCAAAGACGCAAAGACACAGGAGCCGGAGGGAGGGAGGGCAGAGGTGCTCACATTGCTTGAAGCCTTTTTGATACTGCTAGGTTGGTGGGTGGCGCTGTGCCCAGCTGGAGCGGGGGGTTGCTAGGCAGCTGCTCTCATGAGAAGCCGCCCAGCAATGCCCCTTTCCAGCCGGGCAGAGCGCCACTCACTGACCCAGTAATATCCCAAAGGCGCTAAGCCACGTGGTGCTCTGCCTGGCTGGAAAGAAAAGTTGTGTGAGTACTTGTTCTGCCTCCAGCTCACGTGCCTACCAGCATCACCAGACCCGGCTTTCCCTGCAGGGCCGGGCCAGGGAGCTGCCGCCACCGTGGCCCCACTGCTGCTGCCTCAGCCCTGCTGCCACCCCCGCCACGATGCTCCGAGCATAACCAGCTTCCAAACTCCGGAGATCCGCTGCCGAGTCTTCAAGCAGCAGCCACTCTGGGACTACGTTCTATGGTTGTGGACTGGCTGCGGGAAGCAGCGGCAGTGGAGCCAGCATTGCCCTGGCCCTGCCCTGCAGGGAGAGCTGGGTATGGTGAGGCTGGGAGGCACATGAGCTGGAGACATAACAAGTGCTCGCGCAATTTCTCTTTCCAGCTGGGTAGAGCGCCACACTGCTTAGTGCCTTTGAGATATTACTGGGTCGGTGAGTGGTGCTCTGCCCAGCTGGAAAGGGGCATTGCCGGGCGGCTGCTCATGAGCGTGGTCACCTCATGGCGGCTTTGTTGCGCTGCTGCAACAGTTTGCCCCTGAGGCTGTGCCCGGCTCTTCGGGCGCCCGCTCACAAAAGAGCAGCCACCCAGCAACCCCAAAGCAATAAGCCCCCCTCCAGTAATAAGGCCCAAGCAAAATTTGGGGTGGTCAAAAGAAAATAAGACACTGTCTTATTTTCGGGGAAACACGGTATAATCAACTGTATAGTAATCAGAAATATTCAGTGGAAGAACCATCATTTAAACCTCTGCTGCGTAGCACATGACCTGGTGTAAAGTATATGTGGGTGAATGGAGAGAATACTAGAATTGTATATTTATTATTATGTAGTACACTCCTGTCTATCACTTTTCACGAGTTTTTGAGGGAAACTTGAACGTTTTGGATGCTGTAGATCCGTTTCTGCTACACCATTCACTTACTGACATATTATTTATATTCCCATCCCTGCCCCATTTTTGAGGCACTGACGAAGTTTCTCTTGCATTCTGTAGCAGGGGTGTCAAACTCAATTTTCATTTAGCTCGATGTCACTCCTGTCAGGGGCGCCTGTGGTGGCCCAAGTGCTCTGCCAACAAAAACAGGCTCTTGAGCTCTGTTTTCGACTGCCACAGCCTCCTGCAACCCTCTGCCAGTGAAAATGAAGCTCCGTTTTCGCTGGCAGAGGGTTGCAGGAGACCATGGCAACTGAAAATGGAGCTCAGGAGCCCGTTTTTGCTGGCAGAAGCACTGCGGAGTGGTCCTTCACTGTTTCCAGGGTGGCCCCGAAGGCCAGATCTAAGTACTCCATGGGCCGGATCCAGCCTTGAGTTTGACAGCCCAGTTCTACAGCATTTCTTCCACTTGATCCTGGAGATGCATCCCAAGAATTACCAGAGGGAAACAGCGACTGTGAAATGGTAGACTGTACTATCCACTAGTTCCTGGAGCTTTTTTCTGAAAACCATAGGATTGCTCCCCCACCCACCCACCCATTGAAATCTGTCATGGTTAATATTGCCATTAGGCACATTGCAGTTAGTTCTAATAAACATAAATATGTAAAAATTTGATTGCTGTTATTTAAGCAGATTGTGTATACATTTGTTTAACAATAATTCAAATTTACATTGGTGCTGGAAAAATATGATCAGTCCTCACAAATTTGCTGCGGGTGCTTGACAACCAGCTTGTATTTATGACAGTTGCAGTATCCTAGGGTCATGTGATTGCCATTTGCAACTTTCACAGGAGGCTTCCAACGAGGAGAATCAATGGGGGTGGTGGGAGCTGATTGGCTTACGGGTTTGATTCAGTTAATAACCACAGTAATTTGCTTAATGGACATGGCAAAAAGTCTTAAAATTAGAGGTGGTTCATTTAACAACTGCATCACTTGGAAACGAAAAAGTTGGTCCAATTGTGGTCATTAGTTAAGGACTATGTGTATGTTGCTAACCACAGATATTTGAAAACAAATGTCAAGGTTTTGTTTGAGTAGGTATTCCTACTTAGATGAATCTTTGTTTATATTGCAGGTTGTTTTATCAAAATTCGTTAGACAAATGGGAGACCTGCTTCCTTCCACAATTTATATTCCTTATCTAAAAATGCTCCAGGGATTGGCCAATGGACCCCGGTGTTCTCATTACTGCTTTACTTTGCTAAAGGGTAATGGTAGTACTCATGGTAAGAAATATAGCACCACATAGGCTGAATATTTTGATGTTTTATTTCCATTCACTGTACATACACATAAACATAATCCTAAGTACAATGTCTTCAGGGAAGTAATTGTACACTTAGATTGAAGCTTTTCATGTTTATAGGTAGTCCTCAACAACAGTTCATTTGGCACTGAAAAAAACTGACATGACCATTTTTCACAGTTACAACTTTTGCAGCATCCCCATGATCATTTGATCAAAATTCAGATGTAACTCATTCATTTTTATGACAGTTGCTGTGTCCCATGTGATCACTTTTTACGACTTTTTGACAAGCATTCACTTATCAACAGGGTTACTAATTTAACAACTACAGTGATTCACTTAACAAGTGTGGTAAGAAAGGTCGTAAAATAAGGCAAAACTCACTTAACTTTGCTTAGCAACAGAAACTTTCGTAAGTCGGGAGCTACCTGTATTACCGTATTTTTCGGAGTATAAGACACACCTTTTTCCCTCAAAAAAGAGGCTGAAAATCTGGGTGCGTCATACACCAGCGGTTCTCAACCTGTGGGTTGCGACCCCTTTGGGGGTCAAACGACCCTTTCACAGGGGTCGCCTAAGACCATCCACCGCCATATCCTGAAGCGGCAGGTGCATGAAGAACGCCGGGTGGTGAAGCAGCCTCCTCCCAGCTCCGGGCACAACCCAGACACCGCACCACCTGGTCTCCACGCCAGGGAAACGCCAAAGTGCTGAAGGGGGAGACGGGTTCTTCTGAGTGGTGGATCAGCCTCAGCTCCGATGAATGTCCGAAGCGAGTGTGATTGGTGGTGCTGCTTCAGCCCAGCCGACTGCACAGGGACTTGAAGGCACCCGGAAAGCAGGAGACCAGCGGGACAGTCAGGCCACCCGCTTCAACTGGGATTCAAGCCCCCTTGGGCCTGGACGCTGCCTTTGCCACCCCCGCTGCTGGTCCTGTCCTGCGGGCTAAACTGAGTTGGAGGCTTTTTGGCTGGCAGGAGAGGTCGGAGGGGAGGACAGGCCCCGCCCACCCATTCCTTCCGTCCTGAGGAATTCCATTCGGGATGGAAGCACAGTTCGATGTAGCTTAAGCCTCCGTTTAAAATTCAATTTAAAGGGCAACTTCTTAATCTGTGTTANCAAGTAGCCTGCAGTGCTGCATTTAACCACTGCGCCACCTCGGCTCCATATATATATGTGTTTGTGTTTGTGTGTGTGTGTTGCACACACACACACACACACACACACACACAAAATGAGAATAAGTTCTTATTGGATGTCTGGAGCCTAGTTCTTGATGAGGTTGGACAACCCCAGATAGATCCGGTGTGCAACTTGGGGTTTTTTTGGACTCACATCATTGGCAATAGTCGCTAGAAGAGCCTATGCACAACTCCATCTTGTGTGCTAGTTGTGTCTTTTCTTGGATCGGGAGCCCATGTACTCACTCATTCACTGATCACTTATGCTTAGATTATTGCTATGTGCTCTAAACTGGATTACCCTTGAAATGATTTCAGAAGCTACAACTGGTACAGAATGCAGTGGCACGAACAATTCATTGCTTTCAATTCACCGCTATTTGTTTCTAATAGCTTGCCTGATATCATCAGGAACCTTTTCTTCCCGCCTCTAAGGCTCACGCTTCAAGTTTCACTAGTTTTCATTAGTTATATAAATGTGAAATTTGCAAAACAGGTGTGAACTACATTGCAATACTGATATTTATCCAACTGGACGTGAAGAAATATCTTTAATTTGGTGGAATTTATTTTGTGAATTTCTAAACCTATTTTTTTTCTGTAGCTAAGCAAAGGAACTTCCAAAATCAGACATGTACAACTTCTGATATTAAGACTCTACCTCTATGGAATAGTTTATTTTCAAAGCATATATGCCCTCTGCTGGTATAAGGTAATAGCTAAAGTACCAATCTGTGTTTAACAAAAATAACCCATTGAGCTCAAAGGAAGGTGTTTTCTCAATTAAGATGCTACTCTTCTGTCTAAGAGTAGACAGAAAGATTATGAACGCAGGTCAAAATCCTGTGTGACACCTACTTCCCCCAACTTGTCATAACTGGTATTGTGAACTCCAGCTGAAACCAAGTCCTAATGATTCACCAATCCCTGGCCAATAAATGTGTGCATGAATGTGTGTCTTTATGAATATACATACACATACACACAAGGAGACATTTATTGTGGACTGACAACAAAACAAAGTCACAGATAATATCCTAGAACAAATCAATCCAGATTATCTTAATTCACAAACAGCCTTGTGACACTGTGAAAATTAACAATTTTATCACAGAATCTTTCTTTTGCTGCCGTGAGATCAAAGATGTTGCTCATTCCTTTTGTTTAAGTCATGAATTTTATCTCTCTCTGTGTGTCCCTGAAGCTATACGCTTCTCCCATATGTTAATATTAATTAAATAGCTATTGATTAAAGTTGTGTGTAAAATAAGATAATCACCCTGATAATATGAATGCCCCATCAGCAAATGCCACTCTCAAACACAGAAGCCCACAGGTATAAGGCAGAGGTGGGTTTCTGCCGGTTTGCCCTGAATCGGGTGAACCAGTAGTGGTGGCGGCGGGAGGCTCCACCCACCCGACCAGATGCGTCTGCGCAGAAGTGTCGTGCGAGCGTGCGAACTGGTAGTAAAATAAATTGAAACCCACCACTGGTATAAGGATCCATGAATGTACACACACATGTACACCCACACCCACACCCACACACATGCCTTGTCTCTTATAGCAGAAACACCAGAAGGGAAAACACAAAACAGGACTGAAAATGGATATGGGAAATCTGAGATGTTATTACTGGATTATTAAACAAGCTAATAATCCATCCTAACTGAACAGTAATAATTATGCATTCTGTAGCTTACTTTCAATGTTAAGACGACATTTGTAGGTAAGATGCCGGTAGTACAACTATTAAAGTATCTCTAAAATTCCAACAAATGGGAAAAATATAGCAATAGCACTTAAAGGATTTATATACCACTTCACAGTGCTTTATAGCTCTCTCTAAGCAGTTTACAGATTCAGAATATTGCCCCCAGCAACAATCTGGATCCTCATTTACCCAAGAATGGAAGGATGAGTCAACCTTGAGCCAGTAAGCATCGAACTGCATCTGCAGAATTAGCCTGCAGTCAGTCCGCAGAATTAGCCTGCAATACTGCATTCTGACCATTGCACCACCACAGTTCTTAAAAAAATGACATAGCTCTAATTTCCAATTAATATTATTCTGCTTCTGCTCCATCTGTCTATGGAGGTCTCAATCATCCAGATTGTTCCTTTTGAAAAAGATTTTGCTTTTTGGAAAAATATACGTTTGAGTTCTGCGCCATCTGATATTATTATTTTTCCTAATATTTTTCTCCTGATTTAAGAGTTCCAGAGGACTCAAAAGACGCTCTCCCTTTTATATCATTATGGTTTGAAAGAAGTTTTGTTCAAGGCCAGCCCTTTTATTATCTCCAAAGATAGGATTTGGTTTAGGTCAGGTGCATCTCAGATTTCAATTAGCCTATGCTGTACTTTTCCATAGTTACTATCATATATTGATTAAAATATGGAATCATGCCCATTCTGATATATTTTTACTGTTTTATTCTTCCTCCTTCTCCTTGATTTTGATGATATAGCAAGACTATAGAGGCCCTGTTATCATCACCCACCTAGGGTAATCGGTTAATTCAGTTAATCACATTAAATCCCAAATCCCATCCTGCAGAAATACCTACCATTATCATTAAAGCAGCCTTTAGAATTCTTCTGATGCTAACCATCATTCTTAAAGAAGGGACATGGATATCAAAGGCAAGGAGTAGTGAGCTGGCCTAGAGGTGGAGCTCTCACTTCACAATCAGGAATCTGTGAGTTCGATTCTTGATAGAGGCAGATATTTCTCTCTGGGCACACTGAGAATATATCTGCCGAACAACACTCTGCCTTGATGACAGGAAAGGCATCCGGCCATTGAACACTCTGATAGCTCCATTCAGTTGCCCAGACTCCACCCTGCAAGGGATTATGAATGAAGTTGAATGAAGATGATATTGAAGCAAAGAGTGCCAGCTATAGCAGGTTTCTATCCTTACCACAATACTTCTGCTGATTGCCGGCTGATTGCAATTTGGCAGTTCGAATCTCACCAGGCTTGACACAGCCTTCCACCCTTCCAAGGTCAGTAAAATGATGACCTAGATTGTTGGGGACAATATGCTGACTCTGTAAACCTCTTAGAGAGGGCTATAAAGTGCTGTGAAGCAGTATATAAGTCTAAGTGCTATTTCTATTATAGCCCCAAAGTACAGGACTACTGTGCCTTCCTCTTTTTGTTGTGTAAAGCAAAGGATAGAGTCTATGACAAGTTGTGGGGGCATATACCATTATATTGGCCAATAGAAGGGAAATTCAGGAGGAACAGCCAGAAGACCATCACAACTGCTTCCTGGTAGCTGCTGCATTGAATAACTTTTAAGAAAAGACTGGACAGCCACCCATCTGAAATGGTATGGTGCATTTCAAGGCCCAGGGACCGGATCCAGCCATGGGGTACTTACTGTAGATCTGGCCCACAGGGCCACCCTGGAAACACTAAAGGACATTGCTTCTGCCAGCAAAAATAGGCTCCCAAGCTCCGTTTTCACTGGCAGAGGGTTGCAGGAGGACATGGCGGCCAAAAATGGATCTTGGGAGCCTGTTTTTGCTGGCAGAGTGCTCAGGCCACCACAGGGGCCCGCAACAGGAGTGATGTCGAGTTAGCCATGCCCACCCTGGCTACACCAGGGAACTCCTCTCTCACCAGACTGTATGAGTGTGAGCGATTAGCTTAACAACTGCAGCCAGGATTAATGTCATAGGTTCATGTGATATTTCACCTTACATCTGTGTCACTTAGCAATGGAGTTAGTTGGTAAGTGAGATCTACCTGTAAGAGACCTGACCCTGCCCAACATTCATTTCAAGCCAGCAATGAGAACTTTATATTTACTTTATAGTGCAGTCATGTATGTATTGCTTTAACCAACAAAGTAGCAAACCAAGCCACAATTATTTGAGAGAAAGCATGTTTTTAACCCAGCCAGCCATTATGCTTTTAAATAAATTATACATAATCATGTATACTCTTGTTACTTAAAGTGTTTGCAAATGAGGCAGGAACCAAGTGAATATGAGCAGTAGAAGATAAAACTGTCCTAATGACCCCTGCACAATGTACCTAAAATTGAAATTTAGGGTTTTGGGTTTTTTTACTTGATGACCAAGTATGCAATTATGGGCTGAGCTCATTTCCAGCTCCAGACTGTGGCCTGCTAGTTTCAATAGCAAAAGGTTTCCTTGCTTGGAAGGTTTTCAATGTCTGCATGCACCATTATAGACATCTGCAGCACATTAAAACTATGCCATTTGTCCTAAGCAACAGGAACAATGCCTTGTGTATGAGGGAACAAGTCACGTGATCCTTTCAAGAGATGATACAGAATAAATATCAGGCATTGAAAGCAAGCCTTTTAGGGGAAAGAACTCAATTAAAACAAAGAAAATTAGCTGCAACAAGGTGTCTCCCCAGATAACTGGTTTGCTGAGCATGCGCTTTGCATGCACTCAGTAGGTTAAAACTTACCTTCTACTGCAGCTGAGACACGGCAAAAGAACTGAGGTGTGGAAATCAGCTCTGCCATGCCTATCAGCCGGGCAAAATAAGCAAGGAAATATAGATGACTATAGGGGCGGGCAGGTGGGCGGGACCACCTGAAGGTCGGAGCGAACCGGTTCACTCTCAGCTGATCTTCGGAGCTACCGCTTGGTCCAAACCAGGCCAAACCAGTAGAATTCCACCCCTGTGTCTCCCTGTGCCTCCCTCCACCTGAATCAAAATTCTAATGCAGAACTTGTAGAATTCATTCAGACAGCTTAGCATCATGAGAAAAGGAATGAAGATACTCCGTGATACAACACATTACTTACATGCCCTTCTTTCAGTTTCAACCATACCCAATGTAAGAAGTATAATTTACACACACATACGTATACAACCGTAACAGCTCATCTAATTATAGGTGACCCTCAATTTACAACCAACCGTTTAGTGACTATTCAAAGGTACATCAGAACTGGAAAATGTTAGTCCTCTCTAAGTGGTTCATAGAATCAGCCTATTGGCCCCAACAATGTGGATCCTCATTTTACCCACCTCGGAAGGATGGGAGGCTGAGTCAACCTTGATCCTGGTGAGATTCGAAGTGGCAGGCAGCTGGCAGTCAGCAGAAGTAGCCTGCAGTATTGTATTCTAACCACTGCACCACCACGACTCAATCACAGTCACATTACAATCACAATCATTATTACACATTATTAAGATTTGGGCACTTGGCAACTGGCATGCATTTATGATGCATACAGCGTTCTAGAGTCATGCGGTTGCCATTTGTGACTTTCCCAGTCAGCTTCCAACAACCAACAGCTTCCAACAAGCAAATGGGGGAAGCTGGATTCACTTAATAACCACCCGATTTACTTAACAAGAGCAATGATTCATTTAATAACTATGGCAAAAAAAAAGGTTGTGAAATCAGGTGTGACCCAATTAAAAACTGCCTTGTTTCGCAATGGAAATTCTAGTGCCAATTGTGGTCATAAGTCAAGGACTACTTCTAGTTAACCAACATAGTTAGTTAAGAAAATAGGGATCCTTGGTGCTCTCTGAGCTTACTTGTTTTCTTGCAGACATTTCATTACCCTAACTACCATAGTTTTCGGAGAATCTATGGGGCATTGCCAAGAGAAAGATGAGAGACATGAGACCAAACAGTGCAGAAGAGCTGAAGGCCAC